TCAAAGTAATTGGTATGATCAAAAAATATCTGGAAAAATGGTCAAAATTGTAAGGATTGCAGCTATGAATATGAATGTGTTATACAAAATGATATTTCTTTTTCAGGGAATACTAGTCATTACAAAATAAGTAGTGTTGCAAATATTTACAAAGCATTTCAAGATGCAAAACCAAGATCAGGTTTTGGACTCCAAGATTGGTTTTTATATTACAAAGCCTGTGCTCTAATCTGGATAAATGGACAGTTTTAGAAAATGGCAAAATACTTATACTAAAAGGACGTGATTTAAACCCAGGATAGCATGCTTTCCTGTGGTATCAAAAAGCAAAAGTCCATAAACAATTTAAGAACCATTTGATAAGGAAAGCTTTGAACTGGGTATGGACTAGGATCCGGGAATTAATCTACCAAAAAGTTCCTGAATGGATCTCACCAATGCAAGCATTCACACAACCAACGTTAATGGAAAAGAAGAAACCCTTGAGATATAGAGATTTATTAAAAGACAACCTAAGTATGAAATCAAGGAAAGAATTAGAAGAACAGGGGTACAGTATATCACAGAAGTGAGTACACTCCCTCACATTTCATAAATATTTTAGTATATCTTTGCAGGTGACAACACTGAAGAAATGATACTTGGCTACAAATTTAAAGGAGTAGTAGGGATCTTTCAGTCTCAAGAGACTATTGTAACATGTTCTGAATAGAAGACTTGGAAGAGGGTCTAGTGTGGCTGAGAAGGCCAATTCGAGAGTGACAATTCCTTCCACACTGAAGACAAATACAATCTGTCCCCAGTCCAGCTCCCTGATTTTGCTGCTTTGGGGACTGCCTCTTTGCCTTGGCCTGCTGGACAAGGGTCTCTTCAAAATGGGAGAGGCCATGATGCACCGCCTGCCTCCAGCGTGAATGCTCAGAGGTCAAGGTTTTTCATCTGTTGAGGTCAATTCCTAAAGCCTTCAGATCCCGCTTGCAGATATCCTTGTATCCCAGCTGTGGCCTCCCTCTAGGGTGATTTCCCTAAACTAATTCTCCATTCAGGAGATCTTTTGGAATCCAATCTTCAACCATTCTCATAACATGTCATAGCCAACGTAGGCATCACTGTTTCAGTAATGTATATACGCTAAACATTTCAGCTCTTTCTATGACTACTCTATTTGTAACTTTGTCCTGCTAGGTGATACCAAGAATGTGTTGGAGACAACACATAGGGAATGAGATCAACTTCCTCTCCTGCTGTGCACAAATGGTCCAGGACTCATTGCAGTATAGGAGTGAACTCAGGACACAGGCTCTATAGACCTGGAACTTGGTATATGCCGTCAGCTTCTTATTAAGCCATACTCTCTTTGTAAGTCTAAAGAACATGGTAGCTGCTTTGCCAATGCGTTGATCCAGCTCGACATCTAGGGAAAGTGCCAAAGATCATTGAGCCAAGGTACACAAAGTCATGAAAAACCTCCAATTCTTGTGTAGAGATGGTAATGAGGTGAGTCCGTGCCCTGGCCCATGACTTCAATATTCTTCTGGTTGATTCTTAATCCAAAGTCTTGGCAGCCCTTGCTGAAATGTTTCATGAGTTATTGGAGGTCTCCAGCAGATTAGGCAAGAACAGCTGCATCATCGGCGAAGAGGAAGTCCTACATGCATTTCAATTGGACTTTGGTCTTTGCTCTCAATCTAGAGAGATTAAAGAGCTTTCCAGCTGATCTGGAGATAGACACCTTCTGTTGCAGTTCTAAAGGCGTGCTTCAGCATGACAGCAAAAAAGATCCCAAATGAGGACGGAGTGAGGACACAGCCCTGATGATCTCATTACAGCACTTCAACAGGGATGTTATCCTCCCCAGTGCTTTGCTGGAGACAAGGGAATTCAAGGCTGCTTGTATTTCTGCTAAAGTTGGTTCGCTGTCACATTATTCCAAGACAGGCAGCACTCAATGTTATTTAATGCCTCTTCAGTTACTACATTCTCTCTAGAATATAGCTCAGAGTAGTGCTGCACCCAGCGTTCCATCTGCTGTGCTCTGTCCTAGATGATCACAACTGTAGTAGACTTCAAAGGAGCAAATTTCTTCTGTATAGGACTTAAAGCCTACTGGATACCACCACTCATTTCACACGCTAGCAAGGTTATGCTCAAAATCCTACAAGGTAGACTTCAGCAGTATGTGGACCGAGAACTCCCAGAAGTACAAGCTGGATTCCGAAGAGGCAGAGGAACTCGAGACCAAATTGCTAACTTGCGCTGGATTATGGAGAAAGCCAGAGAGTTCCAGAAAAATATCTACTTCTGCTTCATTGACTATGCGAAAGCCTTTGACTGTGTGGACCACAGCAAACTATGGCAAGTTCTTAAAGAAATGGGAGTGCCTGACCACTTTATCTGTCTCCTGAGAAACCTATATGTGGGAATGGAACAACTGATTGGTTCAAAATTGGGAAAGGAGTACGGCAAGGCTGTATATTGTCCCCCAGCTTATTTAACTTATATGCAGAATACATCATGTGGAAGGCTGGACTGGAAGAAACCCAAGCCGGAATTAAGATTGCCGGAAGAAATATCAACAACCTCCGATATGCAGATGATACCACTCTGATGGCAGAAAGTGAGGAGGAATTAAAGAACCTTGTAATGAGAGTGAAAGAGGAGAGTGCAAAAAATGGTCTGAAACTCAACATCAAAAAAACTAAGATCATGGCCACTGGTCCCATCACCTCCTGGGAAATAGAAGGGGAAGATATGGAGGCAGTGTCAAATTTTATCTTCCTGGGCTCCATGATTACTTCAGATGGAGACAGCAGCCCTGAAATTAAAAGGCGCCTTCTTCTTGGGAGGAAAGCGATGACAAATCTTGACAGCATCTTGAAAAGCAGAGACATCACCTTGCCAACAAAAGTCCGAATAGTCAAAGCTATGGTTTTTCCTGTTGTGATGTATGGAAGTGAGAGCTGGACCATAAAGAAAGCAGACCGCCGAAGAATTGATGCCTTTGAATTGTGGTGCTGGAGGAGGCTCTTGAGAATCCCCTGGACTGCAATGAGAACAAACCTATCAGTTCTAAAGGAAATCAACCCTGAATGCTCACTTGAAGGACAGATTCTGAAGCTGAGGCTCCAGTACTTTGGCCATCTCATGAGAAGAAAAGAGTCCTTGGAAAAAACCTTGATGTTAGGAAGGTGTGATGGCAAGAGGAGAAGGGGACGACCGAGGATGAGATGGCTGGACAGTGTCTGCGAAGCAACCAACATGAACCTGACACAACTCCGGGAGGCAGTAGAAGACAGGAGGGCCTGGCGTGCTCTGGTCCATGGGGTCACGAAGAGTCGGACACGACTAAACGACTAAACACACAGGGATACCATCATACCTTCCCTTGTTGTCTGTGTCCGCTGCTATCTGTATCTGGGAGAAGTGCTGAAGCTCTACTCTCTTCCTCGATGGCTGGCATCAACTGGTCCGAATGGGCTCAAACCAGTCTGCCATCTTTTTGGTCGTCTTGCCAAATGTGGACAAGGCAGTGTTAGAAATGTTCCCATTGTTCAGATGCATTTTCACCAGCTGGGCCTGCAAGCGTCTCCTCAAACATTTGGGCAAATTCCTCCTCTTTTCTTTGATTGCGAGTCTTGCTGATGTCAATATGTGGTCTTCCTTTTTTGTGTGTGATACAATCTCTTTGTTCGCAATTTCACTCTACTACACACCAAGGAGTGATCGGTATTTCAATCAGTACCCTGATAAATGTATGTGATCATAATACTAGGAAGGCTAGAGTGTCTAGTGAGGATCAAATTGAGCTGATGCCAGTGCTTCGATCTTGGATGTCTCCAGGAAACTCTGTGTTGAAGCTTCGTATTAAAGAACATATTGCTGACACAAAGACCATAATAACAGCAAAATTCCAGCAAGCATTGGCCATTTTCCTTCATCTTCCCAATGCCAAAATGGCATAGACAAGTGGGCCAAGGATTGTGATCAACACCAATTCTAGTGTTAAAGTCTCTGAGAATGAACAGTGGCTCCATCTCGGGGATTATTTATAGTAGCTGCCAGGTCGTCATAGAATTTGTCTTTGACTTCTGTTGTAGGTGACAGTATTGGTGCATATGCACTAATGAGGGTGACAGGTCCTGCTGATGAGTGGAGCTTCAGAGACAGGATTCTTTCACTCTCCACAGTAGGTGGAACAATGGATCTCAGCAGAATATTTCTGACCGCAAAGCCAACACCATATTCTCTGGTCTCATTCAATGTTTTTCACTGATAGAAGAATGAGAACTTTTTTTTCTTGGACAGATCCCGTGTATGGCAATCTCATCTCTTGCAGGGCAACAAAGTCCATCTACAGCATACTCAGTTCCATGTCGATGACAGCTGTCTTGCATGCATCATCTATTTCCTGAAGGTCATCAGAAAAGCCAGGGGTCATTTTCCAAACATTCCAGGTGCTCAAAATTAGTGCAGAAGTATCCTTATGACTGTTGCATGGTGCAGGGTTATCCATCTGCTTGTTGGCTTTTACCCTAAACCCCACGCACCCCGGGAATATAACAGATCATAGTGAGGCAGCCCCTTACTGGCTGGGGGCTGCTCAGCTTAAGGCAGGTGATAGCTACTTTGTGAGGTGCAGTGCCCTCTCCCACCATCAGAAGTAGCCCCTGGCATCATGCTCTACGCCAATCGAGCAAAGACTTATAACCAGTAAGTGCTACTTCCCAAGTTCTTTCGATGCTGTGGAAGCTGGAGCGTGCTCTCCAGAGCACCAAGTCTGGGAAAAATAATATGGAGGATAGGCTGTTACCCAAGCAGTAAATTCGCCCCTGCACGTCACTGAAATAGTCCATTGGAAAAGCAAGAGCCAATACAACTGGTTCCAGCGATGTCACAGGAGTTGCCAAAATGTCATGAACTGCCTCCAAGATTCTGGCTCCGGATTCTGCCTCAAGGCAAAAAGGAGTCAGTGTACAGTTTATATAACAGTGTAAATGTACTGCAAAGTTTGACTTGTGGCTGCTCTTTTTATCCCTCTTTTTTAATTAGTAAGTAAAATGGAAGAAAACAAAGTTGGGCTGAGCTATTTGGATGTATTTTAAAATGTCAATAGATTTACCTTATGTTAAGTTGTACCAATAAACAATCCTTTTAATTTTAAAATCCATACCTTTGTCTGAGGAGTCAGATATATGTGTGTGGTTGGTGGCAGTGTATGAAGAGAAAGAAAGTGTGAAGTGGCATCCCCTCTGTGATGTAGGAGGAAGTGGCCACAGGTACCTTATTAAGGATTGAGGTACCTGCGCCCAGCAAACGGAGTCTTGCAAAGTCACAGATGTGGATTCCCTTCTGAAGTCAGTCTGTCTCACGTTAGGTCTTCCACTCTCCATGCGGACATCAATGTTTTCCGGTGAATCTTGTTCTGTCATGATGTGTCCAAAGCAAAATAGCGCAATGTTTTCCGGTGAATCTTGTTCTGTCACAATGTGTCCAAAGCAAAATAGCGTATTTTTTCATTTGTTTTTACTTATAGAGGTACTCCAGAGTTTATTGTGGTTGCCGTGTTTAATTAGCCTCATAGAACCAAGAGAACAATATAAAATTGGCTGTCAGTGTGATGGGTGTGTGTGTGCTTTAGGTGGTATTGCAGGCACCAAACAAGTGTACATAGAGGTGCGTTCGTACATTGAAGCATTAGTTCCCATAGGAACTAATGTAAAGCTGGTTAATACGTACTCTACCACTAGGGGGAGAATTTTTTTTTAACCTAAGATGACCTAAGGTTAAAAAAAGAGCAGGAAAGGTTTTTTTTCCTGTTCTTATCTTGGATTTCTGTTCTCAAGCAGAAGCAAAATTTAGCAAATGGAGCTGTTCTTAAGTTGGATTGTTCTTAAGTAGGGACGTTCTTAAGTAGAGACCCCACTGTACAACTTTGCCTAGCGTGGTTCTTAGTGGTGACAAGAAAGGGAGAATCGGCATGGCTTCTATAAGGGCATGTCTTGCCTTACAAACCTTCTAGACTTCTTTGATAAGGTCAACAGACAAGTGGATGCGAGTGAACCATTGGGGATGTCTATCTGGATTTTCAGAAGGCATTTGACTGGTCACTCACCAAAGGCTTCTGAGAAAACTCCACAGTCAGAGGATAAGAGGGCAGCTTCTCTTCTGGACTGAAAATTGATTGAGAAGCAGCAAACAGAGAGTAGGTGTCAATGGGCAATTTTCTCTATGGATAGAGGTGAAGAGTGGTGTGCCCCAGGGATCTGTCCTAGGACCGGTGCTTTCAACCTGTTGATCAATGACCTGGAGACAGGGATAAGCAGTGAGGGGCCAAGTTTACAGATGACACAAAACCTTTCTGGGTGGTGAAGACCAGAAGGGATTGTGAAGAGCTTCAGAAGGATCTCTACAAACTGGGAGAATGGGCAGCAAAATGGCAAAACTTTATTGGCTAATGCAGTGGTCCCCAACCTTGGGCCTCCAGATGTTATTGGATTTCAACTCCCAGAAATCAGCGCCAGCAGAGGTGGTGGTTGAGGCTTCTGGAGTTGTAGTCCAAGAACATCTGGAGGTCCAAGGTTGGTGATCACTGGGCTAATGGGTTCTGAGCTGTCTGTGACAGGAAAGATATTTTGGTGTCCTGGTGGACAGCTTGATGAAAGGGTGAACTCAATGTGTAGCAGCAGTGAAGAAGGCCAATTCTATGCTAGGGATCATTAACAATCAGATTGAAAATAAAACAGCCAACATTTTAACACCATTGTTCTGGTTGTGGTTCTCAGTAGTATCTTTTGCAAGACCTGAGCCTCAACTGTTTTCAGAGATTACTGAATAAGCCGGAGAGCTAGAAGACCTCGGCACTGCCCCGATGCCCTGCTTTGACTGCCATTAATTCTGGTTTATCTCCACCTTCCTGGTGGCTTTGAAGTTCCTCATTAGTCATGATGCTCAGAGAGAGCGGATTGCCACTTCAATTTAGTTTCCTTTTGCAAAACCACGCTTTCTAGAGGCAGGCCCCAGCGAGGCATGTGTTGTGTGGACCGCTCAGAAGAAGAAAAAAAGGAAGGTGACAAAAGACACACGAGAAACTCTGCCAGGGCTGCTCAAGAGCCATCTTTTTGAATCCAAAACTCCATGAGAAAAAAGCCACCCTGCCATTTCCTCGCAGCTGATTCTTCTCCAGAGCAAACCAAGAGTAATTTCTCTCTTCTTCCTCCTTTTGGAGGAAGGATGGAGGTCGGATCTGCCAAGGGCTAGAGCTCTCCTGGTCTTCAGGTGGCTCCACTGATTAAAGCCGGGGGTCGCCCTTCGGAGAAGAGTTGCTGGATCACAGAATCCTACACCACTTGTTTAACTGGAGCGGTGGCATGCTCTCCACACAGAAGAGCTATAAACAGCACATTCTCAGGTAATCCAGGGACTGCATTCAACACAAAGCTGTACAGGATGCCTCCTGATCCTTTCAGTGCTTTTTACGGTTCCACAGCAGTTCCACAGGCACCATCACAAGTTCAGTTGTGTGGTTTGTTGTCTAATCAAATGGTTCAGTCCACTTCGCAACTGGCTGTGCAGTGAGGCAGAAGGAGCGTTTGGGTGTAGCATCTGCCTACAAACATATCCTGGTGTAACTGAGTGCTCAACAAAGTCCAACAGATTGCAGACACTTAAACTAAAGACAGATCTGCTTATTGTCCTACTATCTTGCTTTTATGTCAAATTATTTTCTCCCTTAACTGAAGGCTTTCCCATGTTTAAATATCTTTTCATATCTTAAAATTAATAAATATTCAAATCTTTCAGTTTTAATAAGGTTTCCACTCTTATGGTTGTTGTGCGGTTTTCGGGCTCTTACTTGAACTCCTTCTCAATCCCTTGAAGCTTCTATGGCATCACCCCTCGTAGTAATGTGGAGTTTGACCGATGTAGTCTGTGAAGCTCTTTATATGTTTTATACATTTATTGATTTCCCAACATCATGAGGGTGTATTAGTATTCATATTCAAATACCCCCATCTCTAGAAATAATATTAGGACAATATTAAATGTATTAGAATATTAGGAGGCACAACCGGGAAGAGGGATGGCTATGACTTTTCTTGATACAGAGAAGGACTTTCACAATGTCAGTTGGGATTTTATGCTAAAACAATTAGAAATTATGGAAGCAGCCAAAGATTTTGTTGAGGTGAAATGGGCTATTTGTAGACATTATTTCCTTTACTGTTTGTACTAATCATTCAAAAAATTTTACAAGTTAGAGAGAATACAACATAAAAGGACTCAAAGTAACGGGAAGAATGTAAAATACAGGCATTTGTTGATGACATGGTCTTCATTTTAAACCAGCAATGGTGAACCTATGGCACGCGTGCCACAGCTGGCACACAGAGCCCTTTCTGTGGGCATGTGAGCCATAAGTGGCCGCATCGTTACTCCCCCTCCCCTGTTGTGAAACCTGCACAGGCGGCTGAAGCCACGGTGCTGGTGCTTTGACAGGTGGCGTGCCATGATCAGGGACAGCTGGTGCTGGCGGCAGATCCAAAGTGGGGACTGTAAGCATCTCCATCCTCGGGATTCCCCCTTCTACTGCCATCCCCGGTTCCGCCACCGCCACTTCCGGTTCTGCCACAGCCATTTTCGGTTCTGCTGCCATGGCGGCCTGGAGCCTGCAGGTTTTTCGGGTTTGTTTGTTTTTGAGTTTGGGCACAAGGGCACAAAAAGATTCGCCAACACAGTTCTGGACAATCTGATAAATTTAATGAGGACATTAACAGAAACATTTAAAATTTTTGGAAAAGTATCTGGACTAAAAGTAAATAAAGAAACAGCACAAATTTGACCAAAAATATGAAGAAAGAAGAGAGCCAAAATTTAGTAGAAATCGCAGGTTTCAGAGAGGAAAAAAAAGTTTAATAACTTGGAAGACAGATTGCAAAAAAATTAAGTACTTTGATAAAAGACAACTACATCAAAATAATTGGTATGATCGAAAAAAGTCTGGAATAATGGTAATAATCATTTATGCAGAGGATTGCACATGTGAAGATGAATGTATTGCCGAAAATGATATTTCTTTTTCAGACAACATCAGTTCCTGCAAAATAATTAGCACTTCAAGAATTTAAAAAGCACTTCAAGATGCAACAGACTTGTCTCCAGCCAGCCTGTTGCCCCTTCAGTTTCCCAGCCTCTGAGAAGCTCAGATGTTGAGGATCAAAGGATTTGGTCACCTCAGACCCAGTGCAGTCCAGGGCCTGAAGAGACCAGAGCTTGTTTCTTTTTGTTAATTGAAGCTAGAAGTAAAACACATCACAGGTGGCACTTCAAAATACACTCCATTTTTTTCACTTTTCTCTCTTTTTCACATTACATCAGCATTTGGTTCTTTATTCTTTCCAGTGGAATGAACCACAAAACTGAATGAGCTACTTATGCCTTGTAAACTTCCAAGGTTTTTTTTTACCAAAAGAAGGGGTTAAAATGTAAATTACATCCTCAACTATAATTTTTCTAAAAGCTTAATGCACCTCTGACACATCTTTCAAAAAGCAGTTTTCATTTTTAGGTCAACGTCTGGCTCCCATTAAGTTAATTTTTTTGAATTCTTCATATCTGACACATCTTTCAAAAAGCAGTTTTCACTTTTAGGTCAACATCTGGCTCCCATTAAGCTAATTTTTTTGAATTCTTCATAAACTAAGATTACCTCTTCAACTGAAGCTCAAACCACATTCTATGTATTTCTAGAGTTTTTACCCCGTCTGAGTTCTCTGATGATAACTAAGGCTATTTTCCTAACTAAATCTTTCCACATTTGATGCTTTCATATCATTTCTTCCCAGTGTCAGTTTTTTCATGAAACTTAAAGAAATCACTGTGAATAAAGGTCTTATGACATTCCATGCATTTATATGGTTTATTGCCTTTATGGGTTCTTTGATGTGACCTAAGATTATTGCTTCAAATGAAGCTCTTTCCACGTTCTATGCATTTATATGGTTTCTGCCCAGTATGGGTTCTTTCTCAGATGGTTTCTCCCCTTACGTGTTTTTGATGGAACTTTCGGTCACCACTCCGAGTGAAGCTCTGCATTCCATGCCTTTATATGGTTTCTCCTGCGTGAGATTTTTGATGGAAACTAAAGTTACCACTCCGAGTGAAGCTCTTTCCACATTCCATGCATTTATATGGTTTCTCACCTGTATGTGTTCTGTGATGTGACCTAAGGTTACCACTCCGAGTGAAGCTCCGCATTCCATGCCTTTATATGGTTTCTCACCTGTATGTGTTCTGTGATGTGACCTAAGGTTACCACTCCGAGTGAAGCTCCGCATTCCATGCCTTTATATGGTTTCTCACCTGTATGTGTTCTGTGATGTGACCTAAGGTTACCACTCTGACTGAAGCGCTATCCACATTCGATGCATTTATATGATTTCTCCCCTGTATGGGTTCTTTCATGTGACCTAAATTCACCAATCTGACTGAAGCTCTTTCCACATTCAATGCATTTATATGGTTTCTCCCCTGTGTGAGTTCTTTGATGCAAACTATGTTTACCGCTCTGACTGAAGCTCTTTCCACATTCCATGCATTTATATGGTTTCTCCCCTGTATGGGTTCTTTGATGTGACGTAAGGTCACCACTCTGACGGAAGCTCTTTCCACATTTCATGCATTTATATGGTTTCTCTCCTGTATGAGTTCTTTGATGTGACTTAAGGTCACCACTCTGATGGAAGCTCCTTCCACATTCTATGCATTTATGTGGTTTCTCCCCTGTATGGGTTCTTTGATGCAATCTAAGTTTTCCACTCTGATTGAAGCTCTTTCCACATTCCATGCATTTATATGGTTTCTCTCCTGTATGGGTTCTTTGATGTGACCTATGGTTATGTCTCTGACTGAAGCTCTTTCCACATTCAATGCATTTATATGGTTTCAACCCTGTGTGAGTTCTTAGATGCAGACCAAGTTTACTGCTGCAACTAAAGCTCTTTCCACATTCCATGCATTTATATGGTTTCTCCCCTATATGGGTTCTTTGATGTGAACTCAGAGTACTCCTTTGGCTGAAGCTCTTTCCACACTGGAGGCATTTATACTGCTTTACCCCTCTGAGGAGTATTTCACCTGGAAAATTATTGTTCATATTCATGGCCTTTCCATGCTCCATTTATTGATTTAGCTTTTCCTTGGGGTCACTTTAGACATGTCTATTTATACCATTTGCATGCTTTTCTGTCAGCAATGTACCTTCTCCTTTTCCCTTGATGTTTTTCCCAATCATAAGGAGTTCGTAAAAATCAGCACTCTGTGAAATTGGAGAAGTACTCTTCCCTGTTATTGGTTGGCTTCCAATTTCTCTTTTAGTCTGATTTCGGGTGTCTGTTTTCTTTCACTGCTTCACACTTGGTCCTTGTCATGGTTAAAATAGCTGAATATAGAGTTCTGGTTCTTCTGGTTTGTTACCTGATTTTTTAAAAAAAGAGGAATATTGCACAGAACCTATTAAAATCATATGAAAATGCTTCAGGTATTCAGAAGAATGGAAGCATAGAATACTTTAGTTGGAAGGGGCCTATAGAACAGTACAACAGTGGAACCAGTTACTTTGAGAGTTGGTGTGTGCTCCAACAATGGAGGCATTCAAGAAAAGCTTAGACAATTACCTGGCAGACATGGTTTGATTATATTCCTCTGCTGAGCAGGGGGCTGGACTTGATCGCCTTTTAGGCCCCTTCCAACTTCACTTTTCCATGATTCTGTGATTCTATAGGGTCATTCATATCCCCTCTCCAGGAATCAAAATTAAAATATATCAGCAATATGGTTGTTTTAATTTTCACATCACTTGCCAAAATAGTTGGTTTCATGATAAGACAGCTGTTAAAGAGTTTTCACTAATATTCAATCAAAACCAAGGTTTCTCTATTATGTTTCATGCGTTTTGGGATGATTAAGAACAGATCCTGTCCCTCTTCTTTCAAGACTACCTTTCAAGCCTTTGAAAACTGCTATCATTTCTCCTCTCAGTCTCCTTTTCTCAAGGCTAATCATGCCCAGTTCTTTCTTTCAGTCTCTCCTCATAGGGCTTGGTTTCCAGTCCCCTAATCGTCCATTGTTGCCTTTCTCTGAACCTGTCCTAGTTCGTCAGCATCCTTTCTAAAGATGAAACCTAACTTGGAGAGGAGTTTGGATCACTATGCGGATGACACTAAACTCTCTGAATATTAAAAGTGAAAATCAGTAGACGGGATGAGGCCAAATAAACTGCAAACAAAAGTATCAAAGATACAGGTGTTGTCAGTCAGTTATTATTTCAAAATTAAGGACTGAATCAACCCCAGTCTTTCATAGGAAATATAGTAGGTAAAGAAATCAACTGGTGGCAGGTAAAGGACGTGTCAGGATACTCGCATGAGCTCTTTGTTTCATGAAAAAAGCAGGAGCCACAGGGTAAACGTCACAACCACCAGGCTCACAACTAAGTCTTGGTGTCCTCCAAGCACAATTGGTGTCCAGTGATGGAATACGAAACAACACAGTGAAGCCAAAGTTTAAAATTGAATTTTCTGGAGTCTTGGGTACGTTTTTAGTTAGAGATCTGTGGTGAAGTAGTGGGCGACTCCGCTGGAGCTTTTGTGGAAAAGCTTAGTGGCGGGACTTCTGAACCCAGTTCTGGGGGAACTAAAGACAGGGATTGGACTCTAAAGCAAAAATTCTAAAAAGGTGAAGAGGGAAGGGAAAAAAGGGGAGGGACAGTATAGAAAACTAAAAAGGGGAAGGACAAAGGGGGGAAGGGGTGGGGAGGAAAACACTCAAAGGCGTAAAGGGGGGGAGAGGGAGTCTTCAAGCATCAAATGGTTTCTTCTCAGTCCAGATATCTTCTCTCTCATATTTCTAATCCTTGCAGGCCCACGTGCGTTCAGTTTTCTATACATTCCCTCCCTCCTTTTTTCTTTTTCTTTTCTTTTTCTCTTCAACTTATAAGTTTTCTATACAGTCCCTCCCCCCTTTCCCCCTTCCCCTTTTTAGTTTGCTCTAGTGTCCCTCCCCCCTTTTTTGTTTGCTTGTTTTGTTTGTTTTGTGGGGAGGGAGAAGAGGGAGGATAGATTAAGGGGAAAAGATGCTAAAGGGAAAAAACAAGTAAAATAAAAGGGGAGAAGGTATTAAGGGAGGAAAGTAGGGTGGAATAGGGATGAGGATTTGGCTTGGGTTCGGACTGGTGTGGATGGCATCTTCCTCCCCCCGGAGCTTGTGTCGAACCTCAATGCAGCACATGGAAGTGGAGGGGTACAATGTGAATTTTTTGGGGGGGGGTCTCTTTTTGTTTTGTGGCATGCACAATGGTACCAAAAAAGATGGGATATAGAATGGATATGGGGAAAAACATTAGGGTAGCTACTTTAAATGTGAAATGTGAAAGAATAGAAACATTATTGAAGAACAAAGTGGGCATTATTTACCTACAGGAGACTCATCAATCAAAGGATGGAGTTACTGAACTAAAACTACAAAATATACACATTTATGAAAAAAGATTTGGGACTACCAAATCCAAAGGCGCAGCGATATTGAACTCTAAACACTCAGAATTTGTGGTAAAAGAAGTAGTAAAAGATACGTAGTAATGGTAGATATTTGATAATACAGGGACTAATGGGGGAAGAAGATTATATGTTAGCAAATGTTTATGCACCGGACGTGAATCGAAAAGAATTTTATAACACTTTTGTTAAAAAGACGGAGAAGGTTAGAAAAGGATATGTTATTATGGCAGGAGATTTTAATATTGTTCAGATAAGGTAAAGGATAAAACAATGTTAAAAAGATCAGCTGAGTAAGATATTGAAAACTACGGATTGAAAAGATTATTGATTGATTAAATTTATATCCCACCCATCTAGTCGTTCAATATATGGAGAGAATTGAAGGGAGATGAAAGAAGATTTGCATACTATTCCTCTGCACATAATAGTTATTCAAGAACAGGTTTTATGTTTATATCTCAAAATTTAATTTCTAAAGTAGTAAATACAAATATTAATGTGATGAAAATAACGGATCATGCGTTGATGATGGAGATGAAAGTTAAGATTATAGAGAAGCTAGAAGATGGAGAATAGATTACAATATTTTTCAGTATACAGATGTAATGGATAGAGCTAAGAAAGAATGGATAGAAATATGGTCAATAAATGAGGTGGGAGTAAAACAGGAGTGTTATGGGACACCATGAAAGTTGTTATAAGAGGAATTGCGGTAATAGATAATGATGGGATGACAGAGCACATAGTTTTAGGCCAAGGCACTAGACAAGGTTGCCCTCTTTCTCCAGTTCTGTTTTCTTTGATTATTGAAATGTTAGCAAATGCAATAAGGAATGACAATTTAATTGATGGCATGGGTGAAAATAATAAAAGATTAATTTATTTGCTGATGATTCCCTATTGACAGTAAAAACCCATTAGAAAGTATAGATAGAATTAAAAATCATTTAGAAATATTTGGAAAAATAACTGGATTACATGTAAATTGGCAAAAATCTAAAATAATGTTTAATCATAATAAACTAGAACAAGAAAAGTTTATTGATAAATATGATTTTAGGATATGTAAATCAGTTAAATATTTAGGTATAGATTTAGTAAAAGATACTCAAAAAATAAATGAGCATAATTATAATAAATTAAAAAGATATTAAAAAGAAATTACAGGAATATTCTAATTTTAAACTTGCTTGGTTTGGAAGGATTGTGCTAATAAAAAGGAAGATTTTACCAAAAATTATTATTTTTCATTTAGAATGTTACTAGTACAGTTAACAGAAGATGATTTTAAACTTTGGCAAGGAATGATCAATAGATATTGTAATGAAGGGAAGAAAGCCATAATAAATAAAAAGTATTGGTATAAAACAAAAAAGGAGGTATAGGCATACCAAATATAAAAATTACTATATGGCTAATCAGCTGAGGATTAATGCGGAAATTATATATAACCCAGAAAGGTTAATTTAGTGGAAAATGGAATCACCAGAACTACAGGTTGATACTGAAAAACATCTATTTGGTATAAATAAAAAACATAAAATAAGTGAAATTCATAAAAGCTTTTAAAAGACTATGTTAACCGCATAGTACAAGCATAAAAAGAATTTATGTCCACTAACTCTCCCTCAGGATTAGTGATTGAAACAGAGAATTTTCCTGCCAATATGAAAGTTTATTTAGAATTATTTAAAGAAAAAAGTGATTAGATTAAAAGACAGGCTGGATAAAATGAGATTGAAAGATCAAATTAAACCAATCCTTCAAAATAAGAATATATCATGGTTGAATTATATGCAATTAGAAAGATGGACTAATGAATGGGTAAAGAAGTACAGTGGGGTCTTGACTTGAGAACTTAATCCATATTGGAAGGCGGTTCTCAAGTCAAAAAGTCTGTAGGTCAAGTCTCCATTGACCTACAGTGCATTGAAAACCAATTAATCCCGTAACAGGCCGTTTTTGTTCCATTTTAGTTTTTTTCTGGTCTGTAAGTCAATTCTCAGGCTGCAAGTCAAACCTAAATTTTGCGGCCAGAGAAGTCTGTAACTCAAAAAGTCTGTAAGTCAAGCCGTCTGTAAGTCAAGGGTCCACTGTACAACAAAGGTAGACAATATACATAATATGAGCCATTTCTATTATCGTATGTAAATATTCAGACTACTGACTCAGTGAAGAGTGTAGTGAGTAAAATTTATAGATTCCTGCTAATCTAGAAAAA